GGTGGGCCCCTGACAGGTGCATTCTAAATTTTGGTAGCTCCAGAAAAAGAAAAGCATCCGTTCTCTGCCGGGTTATTTCCCCGTCTGAGTGGAAGCGGAGAGGAAGGGCTCTCCCTTTAGGTCTAATTCAATGAAGCTGAGACGGCTTTACGGTCCATCTGGTAAGGCTCCCTTCTTTTCCTCCCTGAACTTGCTGTCAGAAGGTACAAAACTAAATCCCCGCGGATCCCCCGCCTCCTGCTTCGGAGTGGTAGGTAAGATGGTGTCGCAGGGAGGGACTCGCGGCAGGCTTGACCCCCAGCTCATCCACATGTTACAGTGGTGCCATTGGGCCCCTCCCTTAACCTCCCAAACCCCAAACTCACTGCCACTGAGTCGATTCCGACTCACAGATGACCCTCTAGGAGAGGGTAGAGCTGCTCCTCGGACTTGGAGACCACAACTCTTTATGGGAGTAGAAGCCTCCTCCTCTTTCCCCAGAGGACCAGCTGGTGGTTTTAAACCGCTCACCTCGGGGAAGCCCAGTGCGGAGCCACGATGCCACCGGGGCCCCCACAATGCAAGCACAGTCATACAGTCTGGCCCATTTCCGGCACTGGACGAGGGTGAATTCTTAGTTTGCATGGCTTACCTCCATAGGGCATTTATTATGATCCCGTAAAACCCATGTTTTTAGGCCAATACTGCTTGCACTACAAGTTTTCTGCCAACCACAGCCCCTCGTGGTTATTTTCCTAAGCACCTATGCTCAGTTCTACGTGGGCGGTAGGGTTCAATGTGGGTGAAAAACCTCAGTACGCACATAGCCCTTAACCCTCACAGTACCTCCAGGAAGCAGAGACAGGGCTGCCTGGGAGACATTGTGGGTTTGGTTCCAGACGACAACATTAAAGCCAATTGTCATAATAAAGGGAGTCACACTGATTGCTCGGTTTCCCAGAGCATATAGAAGTTCTGCTCACATGAGACACGCAACTGCAGGCTGTTAAAAAGTGTGATGTCTTAAGAGAAATGGCTACACATGACACGGCGCCCGCTGCTCTCGAATGGACTCTGATTCCTGGTGACCCTGTAGGAGAGAGTAGGGCTGTTGGGAGATTCCAGACCTTTACAGGGACAGAAGCCGTGTCTTTCTCCTGGGGAGGAGCTGATCCTGCGGTGACCAGCTCCTTGCAGAACCCACTGGAGCAGGGGGGTCGGCAAACCTTTGAGACGGAAGAGCCCATCCTGCCCTCACGGTGATTTAAAGATTTTCAAGAGTGATCAATGCATTTTGGCACCAGGATCTGAATCGTATCTCTTTTAAAATGTTCAATTTTACTTCAGAGCCACAAGAACCATCAGTGGCCACAGACCCCCAGTTGGCGAGGCCTTGAGCAAGACCCCGGTCCTGCGAACTTGCCCGACAACTTGCTAATGGACCAGGGTGGTATTCTCACGTTCATCTCCCTGACTTGACATCTCTCTCTATCAACACTGCAGTCAACTCCCCCTTTTCTTGTGTCCTCTGGGAATGAATCGCTTAGATGCCACCGGGGGACATCAGCTTCTGCCAGGGACATGTGCCCAAAAGGGAACTGCAAGAGCATGCAGCTTGGTTCTGTCTGAATAGTTCTGCCCCGGGCTGCCATCCCCTGTCCTCCCACCCTGCTAGTCCCCCCACCCCTACCCCGCCCCCTTCCGCCTGCAAAGTTAGGGAGCCTCCGCCTGTGCCACCAGCGAGGGACAGGGCTGCGTGTGGAGCTGCAGCCTGTCACGCAGCAGTGCTACTTTTAGTAACTGGAGGCAGACGTGTATACAGCTGTGATCATGCCTTATTTTAGGAAGAAACAGATTCACTTGCAATCAAGGGAATATGGAGAGATAATTTAGGAAAGGTATATTTAAGCCTTAGTCAAAGGTTAATTGCGCCACCCCAGCTCTAATTGGCTTTATATTCAGTAGCATAGCACTGAGAGAGAGATTTTAAAAACAAAAAGACTAAGTGATGTATGACCTTTGCCCGGGAGTCAAGTTCACACAGGTGTTTTCTCGTTTTTTGGGGGGTGTTTTTGACTAACTGGCTGTTGGGATGAGAATTTAGATACACATACAGTGGCCTTACCCTAGACACTAGGGCCTAGAGCTCTTTTGCCATGGTGATTATACTTTTGTTCTTTGAATCGATGGCAGAAATTTTCCACCTGGGCATGGGCATCCTGGGGAGATTCAGTGAGGAAAGTGACCCTGTAAGGCTGCACCCCTCCAGGAGAGTGACTGTAGCCCTACCACCCCCACCATCCACTCTATCACAGGTACGGGCCCCCAGAGCCCGTACTTCCTATCCCATCCAATTCCTCAGAAGCAAAGACCATCCCGTGAGTTTTTGAATATGAACATTCATATGAAAGTGTGCCATACAATTAAGAAAAGCCCTCAGAATTCCAAATCACCACCCTGCCGGATCCGTGTGTTCTCTGAACACTTAATCTTGCTTGTAGAAACAGAAAAAGAGCCTGGGGTGGATGCCAAGGTCTTTTACCCGTTGCACCTTCTAGAGCAGGGGTCCTCAAACTGCGGCCCGCGGGCCACCTGCGGCCCACCAGGTGTTTTGCCCCATTTTTTTACTTCAAAATAAGATATGTGCAGTGTGCATAGGAATTTGTTCTTAGTTTTTTTAAAACTATGGTCCGGCCCTCCAATGGTCTGAGGGACAGTGAACTGGCCCCGTTTTAAAAGTTTGAGGACCCCTGTTCTAGAGAATGCAAACCTGCCCACCAGTGACTTCTTAATAAACCATTCTCATAATTCTGTTCATCACAATCCACTTTTCAATTTACCTGTAAGTTCTCACGCCAAGCTTTACCACGTGAGCACTATGATTCTGTGGTGCTCAAGCCCTTTCGTAGCTTCCTTCAAAGGTTTACGACCCCAGTCTCAAACCTCTCACCTCCCTCCCCCCTATTGTGATTTCTCTCTGTACTCTTACTACGTAGGCTAGTTTAGAACTGTGGCCTTACCTGGGAGATGGCTGGGGCATGGGGTTGACAACTGCATCTACGTCGTTCACTGGACACGCTTTTTTGTGTGTGCATCCTTACTGCGCTCCAGGTGAGGGCTCAGTGAGACCACAGCAGCACGAGCCAAGTCTATGACTCTGGCCCTTGTGGGCTTGCCGCCTGGTGAGAAAGACGTAGCCCAATCCAATTATTTACACCAAGCGTTGTCGAAAGAGAAGCTGTAGTGATTCCTGAAAGCAGAATCCTAGAGCTTGGGTAAAGATTCCCTGAGAAATGCCATCTAACTGAGTCAGGGCTTATTAGGTGCAGGTGCCTGGGTGGGCTGCTTGTTGCAGCGGTAACAAACCAGCGCAGACGGGGTACTTGCACACAATACAGGTCCGCCTCCCTTTTCCTGTCTTGGAAGTCAGAGCAAGGCGCCTGATGGGTTTCACGGTGCTGAAACCAAGGTGCAGAAAGGCGACCCTCTTAGGAGACTTGGGGAGAACCTCCTTCCTCCGTCTTCACGGTCACTAGCACAGCATCCTGCCTCAGGGCCAAATTGCCTCCTCTCCGGCATCACATCTCCCTCCGCCTCTCTTGGGTGTGGACGCTTCTGACTGCATTTTGGGCCCACTCGGGTAATCTCCCTATCCCCAAATCTTTTCACTTTCATCTGTAACACGTCTTGTACCATCTAAGGCAGTGGTTCTCAACCTTCCTAATGCCATGACCCGTTAATACAGTTCCTCATGTTGTGGTGACCCCCAGTCATAAAATTACTTTTGTTGCTACTTCATAACTGTAATTTTGTTACTGTTATGAACCGGACGACCCCTGTGAAAGGGTTGTTCAACCTCCAAAGGGGTCGTGACCCACAGGTTGAGAACCGCTGATCTAAGGTAAAAGGTTCCAGGGATTAGGACCTGGACATCTACGGGGGTCATTGTTCAGCCACCATCAACCTTCCAGGCCAAGGAAACAGTATTCAGAAGTATGTGTGAAGAGCCCAGGGAAGATTAGGGTATGGCGAGTCCCCCAGACTGCACACCAGTGGGGTGATGGAAGTGAGATCAGGAGGTGGGAGCTGTTTTAGGGCAATAGGTAGAGGTGGGAGAATGCAGGGCTATGTGTTCCCTCTAGAGGGTTTTGATGTACACTTGACGAAGACTAAGAAGTGACTGAAGGGTTTCGAGCAAGGGAATCTTAGTTTGTGGAGAGCAAAGCCCAGGGGTCCAAGAGCGGAAGGCGAGAGCTGCGTTGGAGGAACTAACAATGGCCGCTTGGAGGCGTGAGGAGGAGTGGAAATGCCATGGGTGGGTTTTTCTAGAAGCTTCTCGTTTTCTGTTTTTATTTTTTTCCTGGGCTTGGGCCCTTGGGGAGGGGTAATGGCAAGTCCTATCCTTCAGGAACCAATGGCTCTCCGTGTGGAAGATTTCTTTGGCTACTTTTTCGTCTAAGAAGCCAGCAGTCATCTTTGATGAGAGGTACCTGAAAGACAAGGTGTTCACAGGCAGATTGCAGATTACCAATACCCTGATGAAAACCTAGGGAGTTTTTTGTTTGTTTTTTCCTGAAGAGGTTCATGTAATCATTCCCATTGGCTAAGCAGGAGAATCGACCCTTTTAATGAAGTGTGAATTCACATCAGCTAACAGTCGAACCTGCTGTGGAGTCTGCGTTAGCAGGGAGGCATCCAGAGAGCAGAGCAGCATTGCCAGATTTGCCCGTGACGTTTTCTGGGTCCATTCTGCAGAGGTGCGCTTGTGACAGGGTCCGCAGTTGGGCCCGAAATGGGAGGCAAGCTGAAGGAACAGGGTAATCTGTATTAGTGCTTATTCAGAAGCAGTCAATGTCTGCATATCGAATGCTCCCGATCGCGTATTCACGGTAGACACTGGGAGAGACAGCTCAAGCCTTGTTGGAAGAAGTAGGACTTTTGGTTAGTTCCTGGTAGGAAACCCAGGTGTCCGGAACTGACAAAGGCCCTGTGTTGCAAATATTAACATTTTTTATCTGCAATCAGACATGCGACCGCCTCAAGCAGTCAGCCAGCGGGACCAAGCGCCGGGTGTTCATCATCGAGACCATGGGTGGCTACTGTGGCTACCTGGCCAACATGGGAGGGCTCGCGGCCGGAGCCGATGCAGCTTATATTTTTGAAGAGCCATTTGACATCAGAGATCTACAGGTATGTAATATGGATAGAAGCTCTAGAACTCATGAAGTGGTGCTCGCTCATGTTACTCATAGCATCTGATTCTGACATTTGTATGTTGAAAATTATCGACCTCATTGAATCTCAAGATACATTGGCTTTAGCATTAGGAATGATTTTGGTGAGTCAGGAACAGTGAGTTAAGAGGCCATGCCCAGACATGTCTCAGGGCAGCATCTACTTTTCACCCAAGCTGGTTACTTTTTTGTTGTTTTGTTCTGTCTATTGAATAAAGTACTTTGTCCATGATGCAATGGATGGTTTCTTGTTAAGTTATATTTGTTGATCAATGAGTTCCTTAAAGAGTTGGCACAGGCATGCCTCGCTTTATTGCCTTCTACAAATACTGCATTTTTAAAAATCATTTTATTGGGGGCTCATACAACTCTTATCATAATCCACACATGCATCCATTGTGTCAAGCACATTAGTACATTCATTACCCTCATCATTCTCAAAACATTTGCTCTCTACTTAAGTCCCTGGCATCAGGTCCTCGTTTTTTTGCATTTTTTTAAACTGAAGGTGGTGGCAAGCCTGCATCAAGCAAGCCTGTCCGCACCCTTCTCCCAGCAGCTTCTCCCTTGGTAATTCTCACCCTTTTCCTAGCTCTTTCATGCTGCGGCTGCACATGAATGGACTGCAGTGCAGACGTAGCCTCTAGGCGCACTGGGAAACGAACGATTCTGTGTGCCCGACTACTTCCACACTCGTTCCTCTGAGGCGGCCTGGGACCCAGCCCACAGTGCCTCTGAGGGACGGATGCCAGTCCCCTAATGAGCTGACCATACAGTTTCACCTACGGTTTTTGAAAATTAGGAAACAACACCAGACTTCTGGTGTCTCCCTGGATCTGAGGTTGGGAATAGGTGCAATTGTTGGAGAACACCTGCTGCGGGAACACTTAGTCACCTGCTCGAGGGAAGCGGCCACTTTCCATGGTCAGGTGCTCAATTTAATTAGGGCATGAATGTGAGACACCAACAAAGGTTCCCAGGGCTGCGGGGGACAGACGGAAAGCTGTGTTGTTAGGACGTAGGGGAAGAAAGCTGTGTTGTTAGGAAGTAGGGGATGAAAGATGTAAGCGTGTTGCCATTTTAAAATAACAAAGAAACCTCATGTAGCCCTTGCAGTCCTTGAGGTGTGCTTCTTTATTTTTTTTTATTAATCATTTTATTAGGGGCTCTTCACCTAAGCCCCCGGCATCAGCTCATGTTTTCCCCTTCCTCCCGCTCCCCCCTCCCTCATGAACCCTTAATAATTTATAAATTATTATTTTGTCATATCTTGCCCTGTC